TACTATGCATATTTTTTGGAAGAAAATTGCAAAATTAAATTCAAAATATACACTTCCGTGGCACTGATGAAAGAGTGAGTTGACAGAATAAAGAATTTGCCCGTAAAAAGTCTCTTTACATATGAATCATGTGATCATGATCATGTATCGGTCACTTTATGTTTATGTATTATAGCTGCATTAATGCGACTCTCAACTGTAAGAAGAGAGGAAGAATTTTGTTCGGTAGACTTGCCCCCGGAATATTAGCCTCCAGAACAGCCGCCCACCGGTAAATTCGTCCCCGAAAGATTCGCCTCTGAAATATCACACCTGCAGATTATCCGCTCCCGGTAAAATCGCCCTCATAATATGCACTCGCGGTGCAGTAATTTAATACGAAAGTTTTTTTATACCTTCATTCGCGATAACGTCCTTGGTCTACACTCGGCTGTTTTTTTTCTTCTCGATGGTCTATATTTTTAGCCCGTTTTATTGTACAAATATTCGTTTTTGTAGCGTTGTAAACGGACCAAGGAAAATTATCGATCTCTTTAATCACTCGTAAAAATAAATCAAAAACAATGTCACGCTGAACAGAAACGGTTCGTGCTCCACTCAAAATAACCAGCTCCAAGATGGGTTTCTGTTCCATCACGGTGGATTTATTCTTTGAATTTCCACCAACAATATTATTTATTTCATTTATTCATTTAGCACAACAATATATAGTTCAGGAAATTAAACAATACGAGCAATTCGAAGAAAGTAAATGTAATGACAAAACCGAAGAAACCGAGTTGACAAAGGAGTTTGGGAAGACTCAAAGGAGCAGAGGTACTTCAGGAAGCTTGAGTTGAAGTAATCCAAAGTATGTGATAATCCCAGAGAACGGCGACGGAGCAGAACCGAAGAGTTAAAAATGCTGAAGATATTTCAAATGTCGCAGGAAGCATAAAATAACCGAGAACACTACTAAAACCTTGAAGAAATCAAAGAAGCTTGCCATGGGTTTTTCCAAATTAGGGGGTTTTGTTTTTTTACCCTTGGTTTTTTTACTTCTTTGCTAGCAACAATAAATACGAAGTTATTACAAAACTTTGGATATATTGACGAGATAAAATAGATCCGGTTCACACGTCTTTTACAATCCTATACTGATATCTTTTACTAGAAATTTCAAATAAAATAAATCTAGTTTGTGGCCACGTTCTTTCGAACTACCCTTACTTCAATATTAAAGACAATAACAATATACGGCAAATTTTTATTAAAAATTTACTTTATGACTAATCAAATCGAACTCATTTACATGGATATCATTTTCCTTTTTTAACTATAACAAAACCAATTTAATAGGAATAATCCAATTTCAATGAATTCGTATACGACAACTCTACTTAGTACAAGCTGGTTCAATTGGTCCATAGATTGATATCTTTAAGAAAACAGACTGAAATGTTTTTTAGCATTAATGACATAAATCAAATATGGTTCCCTAAATTTTTTTCTGCAAGATACGATCAAGATAAGCAATTACATAAACTAAAATCACAGTAACGTTCGCGTCAAAGACCGAATCCCCAAAAGAAAACTTCTCCGGATTAATCCCTACCTATTTTTTTTTAATTAATTAACCGGAACACCTTCGACATTGGGGTTTGTGGATTGGAGCGAAAATGAAAGTCGTTTAACTTTGAAGCAGTACGGGGAGGTGACACTCTCGAGTTACAATGTTCTTACAGAAAGCACAGCGCGGATCGTGGTTCCTCGATGAATCATACAGTGAGTTTGAGTTCAGAAAATACCTGAAAATCGTGTCTCTACTAGGCTGTTGTATTGACTGCATATGCGCGATTACTGCAAAAGACTAGAGGGCAGTCGCGACAAATCTGTTTTGGATATTGGACACTGAAAAAACAGACTAAAAGATGAAAAGAACTGTTACGATATATCACAGGAGCATAAAAAATAGAGAGGCAAGCTGCTGAGTAGGTACAAAAATTTTACACGCCCCGAAAATGTTTATTGTATCCTACTCGCCTTGGACTAGTATGAAAAACATTTCATCAGTTGTTACACCTGGGAAAACGTTTGAACTTATAATGAAGTTTTCGCTCCAACGTAGGGGTTGTCCGTGCCGTATACGCGATTACTTTGATTACTCATAACTTGTTAAAAAGTTAGTTCTCTCAATGATTTGTCTTAGTCTTACAACTCTGAAAATCCTTGGAGATCCTGCGAGAATAAGGACTTCCTCAACTAACTATTTACGGTGGCATTCCCTGTGAAACGTGAACTTCGTGTGCCAGGCGATATTTACCTACTTTTCAAGCTCAAGCGAGCAAAGCATATAGTTACTAAAATGATTTTAAAAGTTAATAAAACGTCCCATTTTCAAACGATAATTATGGACATTAGAGGCATTCCGTTTCGTTTAGTTTCAAACGATTTGTTAGAAACAATATCCAACTCATGCAATTGCTATACGTATTTCCATAGCTTTAATCCAAATATTTGCGATTACATCGTTTACAAACAAAAATCGGACAATGTGTACATACACGTCCATTAGTTAAAGTATCTGGTTTCGACATATTTTGAAACAATGTCATTTGTTGAACAGGCTTCACATTTTGAGGAAAAAGCTGCTCGCAAGCACTTTTATGTCGGTTTTTATTCGGTACAATTTTGACCGTTTGATAAGTTTATAGAGTTCGTAGATGGAGCAGGCCGAGCAGGCCATAAATAACGTTTTTAATATTTTAGGTTTAAAAAGTGAAATTTACTTGAACTGTTATATTTTACACCGTCAATAATCCAATTTGCTTCCAAATATGAAAATGCGTGTGCGAGAGACGTTTGGGTTGAAAAATTCTTGTGGAATTTTTTTT